AAAAAAAAAATCAGTTGATTTTTATTGAAAATTAGTAAACATTTATATAACTTGAAGATCTTCAATTTTACTATAAATTATTAAGTAAAATTTATAAAATCCGGTAATTTATTGTAGGGCAGTGTATATATACCAAGTTGCAAGGGACGAATTTTCCTTGATTAATTAATTTGTATCTAACGATTGAAAGATGTTTTGGCCAAAAAAAATAAATAAAGATATATCTATTGATATTACTAATAAAATTAAATATAATATACCCTGCATATTCTTCGTCATCACTGAATTGATTTGGTATCATGAAGTTGCGTGTGTCCATGAGGCAATTGTATAACACATACAAAACATTCGCAGAATTGATACTTTGCGTCACAAAAATGAAAACCAGCTTCTCCATGATAATGTTTTCCGGGGTGCTTAAATTCATTTTAAGGAATTTTTTAATACATTTTGTTCTTTCACTTGATTGAACAAACTATTTTGTTAATAAAAAATCATTCAAATATTAATATCTCTTTATTAAAAAATAATCCAACTTTTACTTATTAATTTATACCTTCGTAAGTGATTCTTTTTCAGATTCTTTATTAACTCCTTGCTTGGTAATTACTACCTTACATATACCGGATTCTTCGCATAACCCACGACATTGATGTTCATCCCTAAAATCAAATAATTTTAAATCAAATAAATTCTTTTCCAATGACATAAAATAATAAAAAAAAAATGATAGTACAAACCCACAAAAATGATCCACGTGATTTAGAGTTTGAATGAAATTAGAGAAGACGACACAAAATTTTGAAGATTTAAAAACATTTTATGGTTGACTCATCGAAAACCATTGAAGTAGAAAGGTTTCGACTTTTTGGATTTTGCCCCGCAACTTTAGTTGGAACAATATTTTTTTTTAAAAAAATATCATTTTTTGAATGTTTCGTCTTCCATACTTTTTGCTAAACGAAATGACAAGAAAAATATACCAATGAGAATAAGAATGTGAAGTGACGCGATAAACCTTAAAAAAGACCGCGATAAATAAATCACGTGAACTTTGATTTATTGAACTAAAAATATTTTCAAATCACATGATTAAATCCGCAAACACGTGATTTAGAATCCCATAATCCGACAAAATTCTCATTTTTCTATAAATTTACATTCATCTGCGATAGATGATCAGCACTTTTTATTTGCTGCGATTTTTTTTATTGTCGTTTTATGCACATCACATCAATTACGTCCTTCATTGTTACATAATACAGTGAAACGAGAAAACCTTTCTCTCTCTATTGCCGGGGGTGAGTTTAAGCTGATTCCGATGCAGTTTATTCGAGGCTTTGGGATTGATTGGTTGCCGAGGTTATTTGTGTGATTACGCGTAAACGATGATTTAAATTCTCGTAGATTTATTTAGAATTAATAGCGGGTTGGGTGTGAATATTATATAAGTGGGAAAAAAACAAAATATATTTGGCGAAATTATTTTTATTTAGTTCATTCTTTTTTTAATTATTTTTTTAGTTGATTTTTTTATTTTATTTTTTTAAACTTTCGTTTTTTTTCTTTTTTTTTCATTTTCTGATTTTTTCTCATTATTTTATTTCATTTATTTTAATTTTTTCATTTTTTTAGTTTTAGTTTCGTTTTTTAGTTTTCTTTTATTAATTTTAGTTTCATTTTTTTAGTTTCCTTTTTTTTTTTAGTTTCATTTCTTTTTTTTTCCATTTTTATTTCTTAATTTTTAGTTTTCGTTTTGTTTTATTTTCGTGCGTCTTAATTCGCGCGAACTTTATTTTTTATTTTTTATTTTTTTAATCTTTTTTTATAGTTTTTATTTCGTTATTTTTTATTTTTATTTTTTTTTCTCTTTTTCGTTTTTTTTTTAAAAAAATAAAATAAAATAAAAATAAATAATATGAAAATGAAATATAAAATAAAAAAAATTAAAGTAAGATTAGTTGTTATATCACGATCTCAAATTTTTTATTTTTTTTGCCATTATCGGTGATTTTTTTTTTTTTTGAACGGAACGGTCCAATTTGTCATTCCAGCGAAAACTTACTAAAATTCTTTTTTTTTAGATTTATTGATTTATTTTTTTTTATTTGTATTTAATAAATAATTTAATTTTTTATTTTAGGTTAGATCAAATCCATCTCTTAAGCAAAGAACAGACGGAACTTTCGAACAGAATCATTCGGTTCATTGCTGCAGCGAAGGTAAGCTGCCGATGTTTTTTTTCTTTAATTTTTTATTTTCCTTTTATTTTAGGTTCGATTAGTTCCTCCACTTAGGCTAAGAACCGGATGAAACCTTCGAACGGAACCGTCCGGTTCGTCACCGCGGCGAAGGTGTCATCGATGTATTTTCTTTTCTTTAATTTTTTTTTTTATGTTTATTATTTTATTTTATTTTATTTTAGGTTCGATCGGTTCCTTCACTTCGGCTAATAACTGAACAGAACCTTCAAATGGAACCGTCCGGTTCATCACCGCGGCGAAGGTAAGCCGTCGATGTTTTTTTCTTTCTAATTTTTTTTTTAATATTTTATTTATTTTATTTAAATATCCTAAATATTAGACTTATTAGATTTTAAATTTTCACGTTTTAACCAGTCTTTAATTATATACATTTCTAAAAAAAAAAAAAATTAATGTCCCACGTCAGCAGGATTTTAGAGACATTTTTCTGGATATAATTGCATGGCAACAGTTGAAACCTTATGTTCCGAATTCGAATTTTCGCGGCATTTTTAATATCTATTATAGAGAACTAACTAACTTTGATTTTGTTATGGAAACTACATAAACATAATTCCTGAAGAAATATCTTAGGCTCGAAGAAAGTTACCAGGAAATAGCCGATAAGAAGAATCGAACGTTACAAACTATTATACCGCTACCTTTAAATATTATATAATCCAGAAAGCCATCTCATAAATGTACCTGATCCTAGAGAACGAGTATGTGCTTTCCTTAATACTTAACAAAAATCTAAACTGTTGGTATACTCTCCAAATACTAACCTTTTCGGTTTTACTTTTCAATTATTATACTATATGTGAATAATTTATCACTCGATTTGAAGATTGATACTTGGAGTACTACTCGCGCAACCTTCAATCAATGTGCGTTAGAGCCGATAAGAGAATAATATAGCTAGCAATCTTAATAAATTATGTAAGTGAGAGATATTTTGTAATTTTTACAATTGTTTTCTTCTATTGCAATGCTTTCACAATTTTCTCTTTTATCCATAACTAGACTATAATCGTAAATCTTTTTAACGTCGTTATAATTGGAACGGTGAAATACAAAGCACCTCTCAACCAATTAATTGAACCGTGAGGACTCGGGGACGGAGGGCATTTAAGAGAGTTCTATGCAAATGTGTGGCAGAATGAAAAAGTAATCCGGAAAATAGATAATCATTACGATCAAAGCTGGTTGACTCCAGATGTGCTTACGATCAAAACCAGACCAAAAAATCAATCATTTGATGTCCATGGATGATCGGATCTATCGGATTGATCGGATATTTTATTTTTAGAAACGTAATATTCGTTCTTTATTTTTTTTTTAGAACACACCGGAACACTGGAATATACTTGAAATAATGAGGTGGGGTTTCTTTTTAGCTATTTTGGAGATTTGCTATTAAAACGCGTTACGGATCATATGATTTTGTTTGTAACTTGATTTTTATAGTAAATTTTCCAGTTGTCTTTTAGAAACGCTTCCAGGATTTCTTTATTTTTTAGGATGCCGAGCTGGAACTTTACAATATTGGAATCTTGGATTAGAGGTAAGTTATAATAGAGGAATTCGTTAATTAATTTTTTTTTTATTAAAAAAATACTAACACTTCTTTGTAGAACGGTCTGGAACCTTGAAACTCTGGAATCTTGGATCAGAGGTAAAATGGTATAATTGTTAGTTAATTTTTTTTAAAAAATATTTTCTTAAAAAAGCTAACACTAAATTTATCTTATAGGGTCCGTATTGAGAAATTTGACGCAGATCCTTATAATAAATGCTACAAATTGTGCAATTTTTAATTCCGATTTTGACATATATGGTCAGTAACAATAATTTCACCAATTAGAGACAAAGCACATGAACAAGTTATAAAAAAAAATTTATCGTAACTAAATTATTTAGCGAATTTACCTTGGAGTAATTTCCATTCGGCCGTATATTTTAATATACTATGTATTTATTTACAAGCTTTACTATAAATTTTACAATGTTTTTCTTACAAAACTAAAATATACCAATATTTTTCTCAAATTAACAAAATAACACGACTTTTTTTGTTGTAAAACAGTATAATTATTTCTTATTTTGAAGTGCCGTCTTTGTAGCTTGGTCTTTTAATGCTACCGCATACCTACTAATCCAGCCCTGAATTGTAGAAGTTTTTGGTATGTCTTGTTCTTCAATTTCTTATATTTCCATTCAAAAAAAAAAGTTCTAATAAACTTTTCACCTTTTTGGTCATTCTTTTTCCAGTTCCTTTGCCTCCAAAGGTCTGTTTCTCTTTTAGCGCCCACCCTTTTGGTAACTGAAAACTTTCGTCTATCGCGATCGAGCTTATTAAAAAAGCATTAGTTGTTGTTGCTAAAAGCAAACACTAGACACTAATATTCAATACTTACTTACGTTGCCAATTTGGATTTCTATTTGTAACAGCTAAAGAAATTATATTAGTAGAGTAATAATTTTATTTATAAAAATATATTTATCAATACTTACGAGAATTGTTTTCAATATTATTCAGCTGACTTGTATTATCTATTATAATAAAAAAAAATTACTCATTATTTACAAATCTATCAAATAATAAGAACCAATACCATTTAGTTGAGGCATAGGCATGTTTGATGATGCTTAAGTGTGTGTTGATATGGTAGGTTGTAATTGTACAATAGAACTATTGCAAAAATCAGAAATCATAGCTGGAGAAAATTGATTCCAAGAGCCAATATGTGGAAGAAAGCGAGCTTGAATATAACCTGCTAATGGTTCTTCAACAGGCCATTCCCAATAAAAGTATTTAGAGATTCCTGGAATTGTCTTTGATTTTTAGGTTTCTTTTTTTTGTATTTTCATTTGTTTGTTCAGAATTTTTACTAATTTCAGTCCTACTTGATTCAAAATTTGCAAAATATGTGCCTGCAAGATTTTTTCTCGCCTTCACTATATTTTGGCCTTCTTTTATATCATATCCAATTCAAATATACCGTTTTATTGCATGTGAAATCTAGAATAAAATATATAGTAAGTAAAAAATTTTTTATTATAATAATTATAATAATAATTGAGAACTTACTGAAGCATGATGCGAATCTATTGTTGTTTTAACTTCACCAGGTTCTAAAAATAGCTAACTACGAACCTCTATTTGATACCAATCATACTAATGTGCAACAATTGACATTAGTTCAGAATTATGGTAATGAGGTTCGTTGTCAGAAATTACACGTATCTATTTTGATACTTTTTCCATTGATCCAATAGTAGCTTCAAAGATGACGCAGTAAACCAGGCGTCTTGTTTTATATCTGTTGACCAATGATCATATGCACATACAGGGAGGTGACATAAATATTGCATATTTTTTTTGCGAGACTTTAATCAGTTAATTTTAGAATATAAATAATAAAATAAGACCATTTATGGTAATTAGTAATGCTTATTTA